AGAATATATTCTGATAATGGGGGTGTAAAGTTTGGTCTGTGAAAACCAATATTCATCCCGTTTTGAAGCATGATCCTCTCGATCATGGCAGTTAAATTATTGTCCGTCCCATAGTTTTGGTGTCGAACTTGCTATATTAATTCGTCAGCGTTTTGGTTTCTATTGGCCATAATAACGCCTTGATCAATCTCTCTAGGGTTTTGTGGTATCTCAACCCTTGGTTGTTCTATTTCTACCCTAGGAATCTGGGGGTTTGGATTAACGGTCAAATCCTCTTCCATAATTACCCCTTGATTTACTCTTATTGGCACCCTCTGGGATTGTCGAACAACTTGGAGTACCCCAAAGAATTCAGCCATGCGCGTCATTTGCACTGTCATCTGTTGATTCGACTGTGTAGCAGTCTGAATAAGGGGATTTAGCATTGTACTTAGAGTTTGCGCTAACATTTATACCATTTCATGATTACTTTCGTCCATATGTTGCCTCAAAATTGCTGTTGAAACATTTGTGAGGCTTGGTATCATGTGAGATGACCCTCCCAAAATTTGGTTTCTACTGGCTCCAGACCCTTGTAATGGCGATGTGGCATTCACCAAAGGTTCTGAAAAAGTGGAAGCAGCATTCATAAGGCTAGCCATTTCAGTAGTTGGCATGCCATATGGTTGTTCTCGACCCATCCAGGTTGTCGAAAAGCCTGGGGGCACAACTGATCGAGATCTTATATTTATCCTTGGTGGAGGTGTTCCTAAAGGACCTCTTGGACCCACATACGAAAGTAAGGGTCCAATTTGATTTATGGTTAACGTTGGCATTGATCCAACAGAAGTTGGGATATTCCCTTCGGCAGCAGTAGTAACCACTGTTCCTGTGATTGGTGGAGGTATTTCTCCATGGTTTGGCTCGTTAGCCATACTACTCTCACTATTTTCCTTTCTAACAGTATACTTGTTGGTTACTCTACCACTTCTTAATAACATGCAATATTATAACTGTACAGGAAAAAACACAATAACATAAAAGATTAGCAACGTCCCACCAGGTATGCCAATTTGTTTACCGTTGTTTTTGGTAAACAACTGCTGATCTCCAAAAAGGTAAGTTCTTTTTGGTTTACTTACGGGAACGATCAGATTAATCCCAGGACATATGCTAATTTTTATGTAAAATGGATAAGCAGGAAGAACGCACATTCGACCCAGAGAAAGGATGTTTGAGATTTTGGAAAAGTAAGCAGAAATGTAGAAATACAAGTAAAAGAAGTAAAAAAAGATAACTTTACAGGATAATAGTAAAGTAATGTAAAAGACTTTCATTAAGGAAAAAAGGTGTTTCCAACGTACATTTCTCAGTCTTTATCCTTTCTCACGCAGCAGTTACTTGAATAATGTTTGAGTGACTTAGTACAATAGGTTAAACACACTTGAAAATTACACAAGTTTCTTAATTTATACTAAAAATCAGTAACCGTCGAGGGAACATTCTGCGCTAGGATGAAGACAAGTGTCTTCTGCATGTCCCTCGACCTATGGCTTTCAGCCACGTTGCTTCTTCTTAAACGCTGGCGAAACTGCCTTTCCCTCCAATGATTCAAAATTCAAATAGTCCTCGTATCATGTGTCAAAGCGAGGATACTTTCTCTCAGTCGAGTGACATAAGTCTTCTTCAGTCGAACGAACCTGAAGACGAGCCCTGGTCGAAGACTTAAATATAACTTAGATCTTTTCCCTAAGTTATTTCATATGTCGAACATTCTTCTTGACTTGATTCATTCCAATTTTTTGGTCTAAAAGACCAAATATAGTAAGTGTCGAATTTGGGACCCAACAAGTTTACATAGGAAGAATGTGATGAGAGAGTAAGTTTAGTGTTGCAGAGAATCTTACTAGCATCCAAATATGAAGGGCAATGCAAGAATTTGTTTAAAACATATTGTTTTATCAAGAATAAAGTGTGTAATCTGATTGTGGATAGTGGCAGCATGGAGAATCTAGTGTCACTGAAATTGATAGATTATTTGAAGTTGTCTATAGAACCCCATGAGAAGCCATATACCCTTAGTTGATTAAGAAAGAGCTCCCAAGTTCGAATAATAACACTAACCTACAGAGTTTATATCACGATTGCAAAATATTACAGAAAAGAGGTACTTTGTGATGTTCTTGATATGGAAGTTTTTCATTGTCGCACTGTGTATGCAAAAAATGTAGCGGTAAAATTTGAGACTAAGTCATTAATTGACTTAACTCACACAATGAAGCCGCCACCGCATTTTTTTATTTCCAAAGGGAAAATGAAAAAGAGCGAATAAAACCCAAAATGAAGTCGAGATCAAGGTACGAGTGTCGGTTATGCAGAGGGAAGATATTAACATCCTAAGCATGTATGATACTCCGCGGGATTCACTTTGTTTGTTTTAAATTGATGAGTGTATATCTAAAGCATAAAACTTCTAAAGGGGAATGAATGAAAGAGTTATTAAAGAACAAAAAGAAAATGTTTTTCTTATTGCGTCTGTCGTGGTTATGAACCTTTGTGCCTACGTATCCCTTTCATGCAATAAGGGATCAGAACACTGGTAGTTCTTCTAGAAAAAACTTGTTTGTTGATTGATTTTAAATGAAGAGACAAGTCGTCATTTTTAGGAGAGAAATCTCAACTAATCGCCCACAAGGTACGAGAAAGATGGATCGTGCGTCAACATGAGTGATGGTTTGAGAACATATCTAGTACTCAAGTGGAAAAGTCAACACCTTTATAACCATGGAGATAGGAGGATAATATCTCGACTATAAACGAATCATGTCTAATCTTGAAAAAGGTTTTAAAGGAAAAGGGTGCTCGAGCGCACAAAAATGTTTGAATGAGATTGAATGTTTTTTAGTCTTTTTGAAAGTGTTTGGTGAATTGAACCACATTAAAGACTATGACATGAGAGACTTTGGATGTTCGAGTCAAACTCCTTGTACCCAGAGTGTTTCACACGTGCTTAAGACTCGTGACACATGATTCACATCATTATTGTTAAGTGTTTTATGTTTGATTAAGAAAAAGAAGTTTGAAAAGAAAAGTCGCTTGACAAAGTCAAGATTTATTATGAAAGTGGTTAAAGTTTGAAAAGAAATAAGTTTTGAAAAAGATGAGAAGGTTTTGAAAATTGAAGAATGGGGTAGGAGATGAAGAGAATATCCTATGTACAAAAAAGGTAAAAGAATAGGTAAGGAAAGTCTGACCGAACAAGAAATCGATACTCGACATAAAGTAATCAATATAACATTCACTTTCCTTTGGATTTATAGCCACAAACAAATAAATAAGCAAAGAATAGACCAATCCTCAGGTGAAAATAAATCACAAGCAGACATCATCAAAGAAACCCAAGGCGTCAGATAATACTCAAAGCATCGGGTAAAGCGCATTGATGAAAATAAATCATAAGCCGAGAAAGTGCATCAGGTACGCTCAAAGTGTTAGATAAAGTGCAAAGCATCGGATAAGCTCAATGTGTCGGATAAAAATTATTGTACCAGATAAAATTCCAACAGACAGACGAAACCAGTATAGCAGAGAAATAATCCGAACATCTCATGTGAAATAAAAATCTAGCCCAAACAGACTAGAAACTTGTATCAAAGGTAAAAATGAAACAAATGAAATATTGAAATAGATGCTTAATTAATTAACTTAAAAGTTGATTAAGTTAATTAATTAAGTTAAGAAAAATTAATTAGCTGAAACTAATTAATTTTTAATAACGAAATTAAATAACTAAATCGGTTTTTAGTTAATTAACTAAAAGCAACAAAGTAACATTAAGATGAAATGAAAGTTTAATCGATTAATCAAAAATTGATTAACTTAATTAATTGAGTTAAGAAAAATAGATTAGTAAACTAATCCATTATTAATAACAAAGTCAAGTAAATAAATCAAAACTTGATTAATCAATCAAAAGTGAATAAAAGGTATGAAGAGGAAATGACTACTTGATCCGTCTTGAGAAACTTGCACAAACCAACAAACAAGTTAATAATCACAAGTGAATTGAAAACCAAATAAAACTCGAATCTAAATGCATGAACAAATTAATATTTCTCCAACAAAAACCAAGAAAACAAGTTATTATACAATGTAAATGACAAAAATCAGCATTGTATTCATCGTTCCAAACATGTTTAAAGTCAAGTAAACTCAAAAGTCATCACGATTTTCAAACAACAAATGAAACAAGAAGCGAGAAGTCACATTATTACTCACTTGAACACGAAAGATCAGCATTGCATACATTGTTTCAAGCACGTTCAATTAAGTAAACTCAAGAACAATCATAATTTTTAAAACACAAATGAAACAAGAACCAAGAATTCACGTTGTAACATGAAAAATCGAATTCAAAATAGGTTTTAAACCCCTAAACCACAACCCAAGCAGCAAATATATGAACTATTATTGCACAATAAAAGTCCTCAAACATGCCTTCTTCAAACACACTGAATCCGGGTAGCAACCACAACAACAAATTGATGCTCAATAACTTTAACTTAAGCATGCTCAAAATAGAATGAGGATAAAAACCATGCCACAATACAAGTTAATCTTTCGAATTCAAATCGAATTAAACAACAACTCCATTTAATGATGCTTTCAAAATGAATCAATCACATGACATAACATAAACTTCAATTCAAGAATCAAACCAAAAATATCGGATTGCCATTACAAATTCCTATTGGTTTCGAAACATGGAATTGATTTCAAACGAATTCAAAACAAAGTAACAATTAAACATGACATACAAGCTTTGTTCGGAACCAATTCAAATGATTAAAAGATTCTAAACTCAAACAAATCCATCACAAGCGAGAATGGGGCATACTTTTTCATTCAAGTTCAAAACAACGGTAAAAACATGTTGGCTGCCCCAATAGTTTCTCGGTTAGTTTCTACGGAATAAACGTGGCAAAAACATCACCTTCATCGAAACTAATACAATTATCACACTATTTCACAAAAGTTATCACAGGATTCTGACAGTAACTCAGTTGAATAAAACAAAAGAAACTGTAAATTACCGAAATGTCGAAATTACCAGAACAGAGATGTTGAAGCTGGACAGAGGGAACATAGAGAATTTGAAACTTATGATTATGGAAAATGATGAGAGTGATCGCTAGCTTCTCCACCATGATAACAAAGCAATCCAGATACTTCACACAACGATTAGCTTCTCCAAGAGTAACCATTGTCACAAATCCAAAACCACGGGATTCCCTTGTCCATGGATCAACAACCAGATGAACATCTATCACTTTTCCTTCAGCAGCAAAATACTTCTCCAGTTCTCTCTTGGTAATCCTAGGAGACAGTCCTATCACATACAATCTTTTTCTCGGATTTTCAGCTTCTTGTGGTATGCTCCTCGAACGGCTTCTGGATCTGGACAAAGACTTACCATAATGCATGTATGGTGAAGGAGAGGGAGAGGGCGAGATGAAGAAGAAAGGGATTGTGGACGGTGGATGAGGTATAACTGTAAGGCAGTTTAGCAGAGACAAAGTGATTGTGCGGTGGTGGTTCAGTTTAGCAGAGACAAATCTTCTGTTACACTTTGTCAATCTTCTGTCCACGCTTCATACTCCCTTTGGGGCTGAACTCGTTTTGGGTGTTCAATGGCTGAACACCTTAGGCCCGGTACTCACAGACTACATTACCCTTACTATGAAATTCATTAGGGATAACCAAACCATAATTTTGCAAGGCATTCCCAAACCTCACCCTACTGAAGCCTCTCTTCATCAATTGAAAAGAATGATTTCCACCAAATCCATAGATACATTCCTACAGTTACACCTCCTCTCCCCACCACCTTCACCTTATACCTCCACATCCATCCCAATCACCATAACCAACTTACTGATCCAATACAAACATTTATTTGAAACACCAACCAATCTTCCCCCTCCGAGAATCACTGATCACCAAATTCCTCTCCATGTTGGCGCCAATCCAGTGAATGTGCGACCATATCGCTGTCCGCATTTTCAGAAACGTGAAATTGAAACTCAGATCCGTGAAATACTAACTCAGGGCATCATCCATCCTAGTTCCAGTGCCTTCTCCTCTCCAGTTCTACTAGTGCATAAGAAGGACAGTACATGGCGCTTTTGTGTTTACTATCATGCTCTCAATGCTATCACCATCAAGATCATTTTCCCATTCCATCCATTGATGAGCTGCTCGACGAGCTTTACAGCACTCACTGCTTCTCCAAATTGGATTTTTGTTATGGCTATCATCATATTCTAATGCATCCAGGTGATATCTTTAAAACTGTTTTTCGTACTCACCAAGGCCATTATGAATTCTTAGTAATGCCCTTTGGCCTTTGCAACGCCCTTTCTACATTCCAAGCCACTATGAACATTCTTTTTGAACCTTATTTGAGGCAATTTGTTATATTGTTTGATGATGATATTTTGGTTTTTAGAAAATCATTACAGGAACATGTAGATCATCTTAAGTTGTTTTTTCAAATGTTACTTGGTAACCAATTTTTCTTAAAGCTGTCTAAATGCTCTTTTGCTCAAAACTCTATCTCATACCTTAGCCATATTGTGTTTGTTGAAGGGGTTGGTCCTGATCCAGAAAAAATAGCTGCCATTGTAAATTGGCTAGTCCCAAAGAACTTGAAACAATTAAGAGGCTTCTTGGGTCTAACAGGTTTTTACCGCAAGTTTGTTAAAAAATATGCCGCCATCACCTCTCCTTTAGCTGATCTTTTAAAGAAAGATTCATTTAATTGGAATGAAACTGCTGCTCTTGCTTTTCACAGACTAAAACAGACCATGACCGAAAGTCCCGTTTTAGCCTTGTCAGATTTTGAAGGAGAGTTTGTGCTCGAAACTGATGCCTCTGGTTTGGGTATGGGTGCAGTATTATGTAAGCAAGGTCACCCCATCTATTATTACAGCAAGAAATTTTGCCCTCGAATGCTGGCAGCCTCTACATACGTAAGGGAACTATGTGCCATTACCTCTGCAATGAAGAAATGGCGCACATACTTTCTCAACAGAAAGTTTGTTATCTACACTGATCAACGCAGTTTACGTGAGTTAATGACACAAATTGTACAAACACCGGAATAACAATTCTACCTCGCCAAACTCATGGGTTATTGCTATGACACTGTGTATAAATCGGGGGCACAAAACAAGGTAGCAGATGCCTTGTCTCGCATTGATGAATTACCACCTCTTTGTATGGGTTTGTCTGTGTCTCACACTACCTTTCTTGAAAAATTGCATTCTCATTGTCTCCTTGGTCAAGCATATCAAGAGTTTCTCTCTAAAGTCCAGCATAATGCGGCGTATTTTCCTTATTTTCAATGCATCAGCGACCTTCTATTTTACAAGGGCAAAGTATACATTCCCTCGTCCTCTACTCTGAAAGTCACTCTCTTGAAAGAATTTCATTCTTCTATCATAGGAGGACATAGTGGCATAGCTAAAACTTTGGGAAGACTGAAGGATAATGTCTATTGGGAAGGAATGTGAACTGATGTCACTGAGTTTTTCAAGGCTTGTCTCATATGCCAACAAACAAAAATTCCAGCCCACTCTCCATATGGATTACTCCAACCGCTACCGATCCCTTCAAACATTTGGGAAGACATCTCTCTCGATTTCATTGTTGGGATCCCTTCGTTCCAAATTTTTACCATGGTGCTTGTTGTTGTTGATAGACTCTCTAAGGTTGCTCATTTTAGGATGCTTCCTACCCACTTCACAACTGTCAAGGTCGCTGCGCTATTGACAAAAATGGTTGCTAGTGTTCATGGCATGCCAAAAAGCATGGTGAGTGATAGGGATCCTGTTTTCCTTAGTAAACTTTGGCAAGAACTATTTCGGATCAATAGGACTGTCCTTCGCATGTCTTCAGCTTATCACCCACAAAGTGATGGTCAAACAGAGATTGTTAACAAGGCACTCCAACAATACCTCCGTTGTTTCGCTCATGATCAACCTAACGCATGGGGAAAGTTTCTGCACTGGGCAGAATGGAATTATAACACCTCTATTCACGAGAGCACCAACATGAGTCCTTATCAGGCTGTTTTTGGTAAACCCCTCCTAGCATGAATCAATATATCCCGAGTGTTAGTCAACTTGAAGCGGTTGATGCTAAATTAGCTAACCGCAATCACATTCTGAATCGACTTAAGAAAAATCTACTGAAAGCACAAGAAAAAATGAAAAAGTTTGCTGATAAACATAGGAAGGAACATTGCTTCACAGTTGGTGACTTAGTGCTTGTTAAACTAAAACCTTATTGACAAGTTTCTGTCACAGGTTATCATCCTAGGAAGCTAGCTAAACGCTTCTACGGTCCTTTCAAAATCCTGAAAGCCATTGGGGAAGTTATATTCGAGTTGGAACTACCAGCCAGTAGCAAAATTCACTCCACCTTCCATGTTTCGCAACTTAAACCCTATTATGGCCCTGCTGATTCTCCACTCGATTTACCGCCAACTGCCTTTGAAAACCAACCTCTCATCGAACCTATTTTTGTTCTCGACTGCAAACTGGAAGACGGTAAAGATATGATTCTAATACAGTGGAGTGGCCTTTTTCCTGAGGATGCTACTTGGGAAACTGCTGCTGGATTTCTTCCCCAACACCCAGAGTTAAACCTTGAGGACAAGGTTTCTGCGGAAGAATACATGAATGTAATAGATGATGATGATGTGGGCCAAGGGACTGATGAGTTTACTGGTTTCATTCTCCAAGGAAGGCCCAAAAGAAACAAGGTGCAGCTCAAGTACTTGAAAGACTATACCACTACACTTATGAAACGTAAATGAGTGTGCTTGCTTATGTAATGAATAATCTAGAACGATTCCATGACAGCTATCATAGTACTAATGTAACAGCTTTCATTCTTATCCCTTAAAGAATATGCTCTGTACCAATTTGGCAAGACCTAAATTGGATAAGGTTTTAGTTTCTGGTTAAAAAATGAATGGTGGATTGATGAATTTTTTTACTGTCCTACACCCTTTTTAGACACTAAATTTCAATATACCATCTATTTCATTCAATAATTCAACTATATCCTTTTTTCAAAAAAAAATTTTGTCACAACACATCCGCCAATGCAATGGGCGGAGCAGTGCAATTTTTTTCCAATCCGCTAAAGCATTGGGCGGATGCTTTAAATATTAGAGAGGGTCCGCCTATTGGATGAGCGGAAGAGTAATTTTTTTTCTCTAAATTAAATTGTTATAATTAAATAAAATACATTATAATTAAACAAAATACACTATAATTAAACAAAATATACTATAAATAAACAAAAATTTCACTAATTTATTTAAATTAATTTGTTTTCATTTTAAATTATATAATTCCACTATAATTAAACAAAGATTCAATAGAGAAGATACATCTACTGTCGATTTTGACCGGGTCTTGACCGGGTCGTGTCAATCGTTGGTGAGTTCCACAAGCAGGTGCTTGTCTAATACGTTGGCCTGTTCTGCGATTTCCTTCTTCATTTTGTGGTTGAATTGAAGGTCCCGCGTCACACCTGCCCATTAAAAATTCCTCAATCATGTCCTCATTGGTATAGTCTGTCTCGGCTCCACTGCCATAACTTAATCTGGTTCCCTCCCAATTCCAATTTGGTATGAGATTAGAAGACATTGGGCTATTTATTGAGGGTTGGTAACAATCTTGGGAGGTAAATTGTTGTGGCCGGGAAATAGGCATTTGTTGTTGGGGTGTCTGATAGTTGGGATTATGTGGGGTTTGTAGTGTTAATGATGTTTGTGGTAGACTGGTTGATGTTGATTAGGTAAGATGTGATTATTGTTGTTGGGTTCCCCATTGGGTGGGGTTAGATGAAGGATATTGTTGTTGGGTGCTCCATTGGGCGGGGTTAGATGAAGGATATTTTTGTTGGGTGCCCCATTGGGTGGGGTTAGATGAAGGATATTGTTGTTGGGTTCCCCATTGGGTGGGGTTAGATGAAGGGTTTTGTTGTTGGGTTCCCCATTGGGTGGGGTTAGATGAAGGGTTTTGTTGATGGTATTGTTGGCTTGGGGTAAAAGGTGGTTGTGTTGGGAATAAAGGTTGTTGCGTAAAAGATGGTTGTGTTGGGAAGAAAGGTTCTTGGTTGCTGATGAATGGTTGTTGGGTGTAAGTGCTTGATGATAGTATGGTGTGTTGGACGTTTGAAGATGTTGGCAAATTACGAGGGTCAAATAAGAAGTTGTTTGGTGACAGATACAAATTTATAACAGACTTATACCATTCCATGTATTCCTTACTCGGTTTACATTCTTCTGACATGACATCTCCTTGTAAGACTTTATCTTCGCGGTTATGCCATTGACGACGCTCCTGTTTGTAACAATCTTTCCAATTGTTATATGCCCATTGGTCGTTCACCACACTTTTGTGAT